CCCTAAATGCTTTATTTGATAGATTCTGCAGAAGCTTTTATGAAGTCAATGTAAATGGTTTGATAAGAATTTACATGAAAGTATGGTATTATTAACATCTTTGGACATTAGCATCCTTCTTAAAAATACAGCATAGTGATCATATACAATTAATAATCAGTTAAGTCCTTTTCACATAACTCGCATCAGGGCGTGATCTTAACAGAAGCACATGTGCCGTTTTTTTACCTTCACATGGAAACGATGTGAATAAAGTCATGGCGGAGAGACATTAAGAGGTTGCTAGGTAGCAAGAGAAACATTATTATATGGTTGATTATATATAAACCATATATTGTTAGCAAACAAACAAGTTAACATGCATCTGAACAAAAAAAGTCCAAGCAATTGTTTTGATTGGCTATTATTATTATTTTATTATTATTTTCAAAAAAGAAAAACTAAAAGGCATTTTTTATTATACACTACCGCTCAAAAGTTTGGGATCAGTAAGACTTGTAATGTTTTTTAAAGAAGTCTCTTATGCTCATCAAGGCTTCATTTATTTGATCAGAAATACAGAAAAAAAACAGTAATCTTGCAAAATGTTATTACAATATAAAATAATGGTTTCTATTTTAATATACTTTAAAATTGTATTTATTTCTGTGATGCAAAGCTGAATTTCCATCAGCCATTACTCCAGTATAAAGTGTCACATGAGCCTTCAGAAATCATTCTAATATGCTGATTTATTATTAGAATCATCAATGTTGGTAACAGTTGTGCTGCCAAATATTTTTTTGGAAACTGCGATACTTTTTTCAGGATTCTTTGATGGATAAAAAGTTTAAAAGAACAGCATTTATTCAAAATATAAATATTTTCTAACAATATAAATCTTTGCTATCACTTCTTATCAATTGAACTCATCCTTGATGAATAAAAGTTTTAATTTCTTTAAAAAAAAGAAAGAATAAAAATGTACTGACCCCAAACTTTTGAACTGTAGTGTATGTTGTTAGAAAATATTTCTATTTTAAATAAATGCTCTTCTTTTTAACTTTTTATTCATTAAAGAATCCTGAAAAAAAAGTATCACAGGTTCCAAAAAAATATTAAGCAGCACAACAGTTTCCAGCACTGATAATAAATAAGCATATTAGAATGATTTCTGAAGGCTCATGTGACACTTTATACTGGAGTAACGGCTGATGGAAATTCAGCTTTGCATCACAGAAATAAATGATATTTTAAAGTATATTAAAATAGAAACCATTATTTTATATTTTAATAACATTTTGCAAGATTACTGTTTTTTTTCAGTATTTTTGATCAAATAAACGCAGCCTTGATGAGCATAAGAGACTTCTTTATAAAACATTACAAGTCTTACTGATCCCAAACTTTTGAGCGGTAGTTTATATGTCTATTTAGGTAAATAAATGTTAATAAATATATAAATAACACAACAAATTATGTTTTTCCCTCTAAATTCCACATTCCTTTGGGGTTGCTGCATAACAAATTTTTGTGACAATACCATCCATGTAATGATACATCATTTAAACTGTCCAGTAAACATTGGCTGTGCTTGGAAAGGTTAGCAGTGAACAAGTTTGAGAGCTGCACCACCAGACAGTATCAGGGGTAACGCTGTAGATTTCAATGCACTGGATAAGGTTGATGCGAATCATGTGAAAGGACCTTTAGAATCCACAAAAGTCAACTCATTTTACAGAACATGACATTTCAAAACATCATGCATAATACGATGCATCATGCATTCAAAGCCGAATAAAGCAGGTATCTGATAAGAGAGCGACTCTTCTCTTCAGCAAACTGAAGACGCGCTTTCAATCGAGAGATGACGTTAGATTCATGCAGCGGATTCACACATACTTTTTGACACACCACACAAGCAGATAGGGAAGGAAATGCGAAAACTCAATGGAAGCCAGCGGCCGCTCAAGCTAGAGATCTTACGACCCTAGAGAAGCAAACAAGCATGCGGGAAACAATCGAACTCGCTACAGCCTCACTCTGAGTTGCTCAAGTAGCTCTAATCCTTAGAAGAAAATTATGAACTATTTGAGACAAAAAAAAAAAAACCCAGACAGTTCAAGAAGAACTAAAAAAGCTGAAGGCCATAATCCTAAAGTCGGACTACAGAGCTCAGGCTTTACGAGACTCTAAACTAAACCCAGAGCGGCAAAATAAGAGAGGCTTTAGAACTTAAGAAGGTGAAGCATTAGTCTGAAAAAACAGGCAGGTTAACAGAACACTACATCTCTCCAGTCAGAAGGACCGGAGGAAGAGAGGGAAGGGGCAAGGAAAAGGAGAGGGGGGTAGAGGGTTTTAGGAAGCGCATTATATGGATCCGAGCACCGTATGAGCCCACAGTTCTTTAGAAATAACTAGTGTGTGTGCACTATTTAATAGCCTGTGTGTCGAGTCTGCATGTGTCAGGGCATGTGCTGGCTTGATATAAAGAGGATTTTTCAGGGAAAACGGGAACAATTTTTTGTGACCTTTGGTGATGGACATTATTACCTGGCTCTGGCTACATGGGCGGCAGGCTGACTGTGACATTTACAAGTGAAACACTTTAATGAGAAGGACGTCACTTTGCTCTTTTCGGGAGCAGAGCTCCTATAAAGTCGATTAAAGCAGTTACCACACCTGCGTTTGCCGAGCCTAGTTTTGGTGTGTGATTGGAATCAAAATCAGCAGATTTCTCACTCCGTCCTTTTCCATTATCCTTCCACTTTCCCGATGTGGAAGCCTTGATGTCTTCCACCCAATTTCAACATGTTTCCATCTCTCGCTGACTCCCTAAACCTCAGGCTCTCTCTTTGTTTCTCCCCTTGCCGTGGTATTAATAGCCTCTCTGCAGGACTGAATGCGTCTTCAGCCCGGAGTTCAGCCGGAGTTCATTGTCAGTTCATCTTCGACTGTGTTTTAATGAGTTTCAGAATCCGCCCACCCTCTCATGGCAGTCCGTCCTCCAACACTCACGCAAATTATCAGGGGGCCAGAGTTCCTGCCATCATAGGACTTATTGGAGTGTTTGAATGACCTGCGAGAAGGTGTGTTTAAAATAACATTAACGAGCGGATGGACTCGGCAGCCGCCACCTCAGAACAAACAGAGGTTTAGTTTTGGCAGACATCATTATCGCTCTCATTTTATATATACTGTATATAGAGGGAAAGAGATTCAACCACGCATGCTTAAGTCAACACTACCTAAAGCCGTAGGAATGGAATGGATCGCTTGACTCTGACCCTGTGCACTAAAATAAACCGAGATGATGCAGACTGTGAATAAAGGAAAAGACGGACTCATTAGCAAATTACATTTTAACTAACAGCTCATATAACTGAGATCTAGCTATGAGTTTTAATTTGGTCAATGAAATTACGGACAAAAATGTTAAGGTTTTTTTTTCCGTAATGAAGAGAGCACGAAAATATCACAAAGATTATTAATATACAACAAATATGTTTTAAATAATAGATAAAGTTTACATAAATATAAAGGAGAAAAAAAAACTCAGACACTAAAAATTTTTTTGAAGAGGAAAAATCTATATAACTCTTTTGAATGATCAAATAAAAGTCTATAATGCTGCTGAATAAACCACTTGAGCTGAAGTTGAACGATGAATGAACACCGGTAAACTCAAGTGCTTCTCTAACGGGATTAATTAACTCTCCCAAATGCATCCTATTAATAAGATTAATCAACATTACGTAATATTACAGCTTGCATCTGCATAAAATGACACAAAGAGCACGTGAAGAATTTGTATTGTAAGTCACATTGTGAATACGCTCTTTCTGTGACAACACGCTTGAAACACTGACAATGAATAAAGCATAAAGGTATAATTATAACGGTGTACTCGTAAAATTATTTCAGTTTGATATTTTTGATACATTTAAATACATGTTTAAATTTATATACAGAATGTTTGAATATTAATTTGATTTTTTTCACCAAACAGATATTTTAGTACACTAAATATATATTTTTATTTAAATTAACGTATACAACATGACAAAATATTGAATAAACTGAATAAATTGAAGAATATTTTCATTAAAAGACTAAAAGTGTGACAAACTATCTACTCAGCATTACTTACATACTCTGGTCTGAAATGCCAAAAACAGATAAGAAACTGCTGCTCGAACTGGAAGCAGCTGTTGTACAATTTAAATTTAATCAGCTAGACTAAATAATGCCACAAAGGCAGGGTGTGAAAAACCATCAGCCCTCTGAGGTTCACAATAGTCTGTGCGTATTAACACATTACTTCTCAACAACAGGGATATTAAAATCGAGGGACGAGTTGAGAGGTGAAGAGAGGGAGATATAAGGTGCGTTGTGACTAAACTGCCGAACCTCTCCAGTCTGTGGGTCGTTTGATTGCACGAGCGTGCGACTGCTCTTGACCAAGCGGCTGAATAGATAGCATGCTGGAAATTTCTATCAGGCGGCGTCTGCCCGCGGGCCTGCAGTCGCTGCTTATTTATCGACTGCTGGTGCTTCTCATTACAGGCTGAGTGGATGATCATAGCAGCGGGCGCAGGATTTATGATCATTTTGCTGGATTCTAGCGAACTTCAGCAAGGGACACATGAGTGGAAACTAGACAAAGTACCTTTGGAGATGTAGGGCAGACTTAAATGTATTAAAACAACAAAGAGGACTGCAGACAATTCGTTCTTTTTATTTGTCTAGCAGAAACAACAGGGAAGGTCGAATGGGACGAACACAGACTCGCAGATTGCTTGACTCAAAGGGGTTTTTTAGGAAAGAGAATTTGTTTGCATCTTCAAGTCGGTGTGAATGAGTGTGCACTTTACTTTGATTCTTTTATTTGTTTCTTTGTGTTGTGTGCAGCTGTGGGGTCATGCAGCGGAATCCAATACAGCGCTAGAAAAGTTTAAACTTGGGATAAAGGGAAGCTAGAAGACAGACAACGGGCCAAGGGCCTCTCCCCAACCCCTTACCCTCCATCTCCACACTGCCTGGCTTCAAGTCAGGAGAACCCTGCCCTCCCCGCCTCCCCTCCTCGGGGCGGGTACCTGTCTCAGAGACACCCTTGACTTTAGGCAGAGCTGGCCCCTGATTGGTTGTGCTGGCGCTTGTGGGTGAGGTCTTTCCTGTGGTTGTATTGGAAGGGGGCAACAAAGTTACTTAAGAAAAATATCCATGAAATGCATTTTAAATCAGGAAAACATCCATTTAAATATGTGAGTTCAACATTTTTCCATTTTGTACAATATCGGTTCACCCAAAAATGAAAATTCTGTCACCGTTCTCATGTCATTAACAAACTTTATGATTTTCTTTATTCTGTTAAACGCAAAATAAGATTTTTTTTGTGATGGTTTTGGACCTCACTGACTTAACAGAAACAAAACAGGTTTAAACTGAATGAATATAAGTTTAAATTGAAGTAAAATGACTTTAATTCTTATAAAGATTTAGTAATGTAAGAAATATAAAAAAAAACTAAATAAAAATGACAAAAGCATAAAAAAAAAAAAAAAAAACTAAAATCAAAATGTAAATAAAGTAATTTTAAATATCAATATAATATAATATAATATTAATACAACTGAAAACCGCATTAGACCCCACTGACTTTCATTGAGTGGATGACCTAAAAAAAACAAAAAAAAACCCACACCTTTTGCATTCCCGTTGAAGAAAGCATGTTATACAGCATTATAACAACATGAGGGTGAGCAAATTGAGTTTTCATTTTTGTGTGAACTATCCCTTTAAATAGCTTAGTAAAAGTTTATGTGAAGGGTGCTATAGAAATCACAGTACAAATCACGTAAAACATGAAAAAAAAAACATTTTCTTGCAGCAAAATCAATAAAACATTTTCTTTGTTTTGTCATGCCACCGCATGAATTTCTAGCCCCAGAGTATTGCAGAATCGAAACTTGGACTTGGAGGCATCTGATCTGAGCTGAGCTAATCTCACAGAAGCTTCTTTTTGAACAGTTTCCCCTCCCTTTCTCCTTTTCCATCCATTCCCCCACAAAGTGCTGATCCTAAACATACTTGCGGACCACATACTTTGAGGATATCCTCATAAGTCTGATTCAGAGATTTAGCTCTCCTCGTTCCCTGGCGACTTTAAGTACCAATGACCTTGCGGGGTTCTCCTACTAAAAGACTCAGCGTCCTCTGGCTCGGGCTGCTGTGAAGAGCTCCATCACTGGACTAATGCTTAATGTAGCGGCATACAGTACTCATGAGCAGCAGCCGCTTGTCCGGGGCCAAACGCAGAGCCCATCCTCCACTTGCCCACCTCTAAATAAAGCCTGTCATCTTGCCATCTGTGCCACACAGTGACCGATCAACAGGGAGCTAGCGGCTGGCACACAGGGCGCTTTTATTATCATTCCGTTTCCATTCTATTTAAAGGATGCCGGAAGAAAAGAGCTGTCGGAAAACAGTGGTGCATTGTGGGAATTTTGGTCCACCTTTCACAATGGGATGGCTTTATCACGCAGTGGGAAGACAGCGAGAGTTCTGAGGATGTAATAAGTTCTCTTGAATGCAGGTAGAGCTGTAATTACCGTGCTGAGGTGCCGTAGGAGGCTTTGTCTCAGCGTGGGGTGAGGAGCTGCACTGCCGTGTCATTTCCAGGAGCCGTGGCGGCTGAATGAAGCGGTGGGGAAGCTCACCGAATGTGTGCACCCACTGTGTGCTCTTTCACAGAGAGGAGCACCGGGACACACCGGCCAGCATCCCACACCTCCATGACACTACAGCCCATCCTCTCTCCTTCCTTTCTGCCTTCATCGTTTCCTCTTTGATTCATCTCACGTCCTTCATTCCTCCCTTCTTTAAACTTTGTCCTTTTAGGGTTAGCCCTAACCCTCTTTTTCCTTAGGGTTAGGGTTTTTCAGTCCTTCATCAATCTATTCAAACTTCCTTCCTCTATTCTTCCTTGCCTCCTTCATTAATCTATTCTTTCTTCATAAATAAATTCTTTGTGAATCTATTCTTTATAATTAATATATTCTTTCTTCCTTCATGAATCTATTCTTTCTTCGTGAATGTTCTTTCTTCATGAATCTATTCTTTCTTTGTGAATCTATTCTTTCTTCGTGAATCTATTCTTTCATCTATCCTGAATCTATTCTTTCTACCTTGACAAATCTATTTTTCTTCATTATTTTTTTATCCTTAATGAATCTATTCTTTCTTCATGAATGAATGCTTTCTTTGTGAATCTATTCTTAGTGAATCTACTCTTTCTTCATGAATCTATTCTCTTTGTGAATCTATTCTTTATAATTAATCTATTCTTTCTACCTTCATGAATCTATTCCTTCTACTTTCATATATCTAATCTTTCTTTGTGAATCTATACTTTGTCATTAATCTATTCTTTCTACCTTCATGAATCTATTCTTTCTTCGTAATCTGTTCTTTCTTCATTAATCTGTTCTTTCACCTATCATGAATTTATTTTTGCTACCTTCACAAATCTATTTTTCTTTATTATTTTTTATCCTTAATTAATCTATTCTTCATGAACCTATTCTTTCTTTGTGAATCTATTCTTTCTCCATTAATATTTTTCTTCCATCATTAATCTATTCTTTCTACCGTCATGAATCTATTCTTTCTTTTTTCAATCGGTTCTTTTTTCTTTCTTCCTTCATCTATTCTTTCTTCCTTCATAAATCAATTATTTTTTCATTAATATATTATTCCTTCTTTAATCTATGCTTGCTTTATTAACCTACTCTTCCTCACTTTCTTCCTCCCTTCATCTACAGAGGGTACGGAAAGTATTCAGACCCCCTTAAATTTTTCACTCTTTGTTATATTGCAGCCATTTGCTAAAATCATTTAAGTTAATTTTTTTCCTCATTAATGTACACACAGCACCCCATATTGACAGAAAAACACAGAATTGTTGACATTTTTGCAGATTTATTAAAAAAGAAAAACTGAAATATTTCCTTTCTTATTATCATACTTCCTCCCAACCTTCCTCTCTTCCTTCTTTCCATCCATCAACTATCTACCTTTTCTCCCTTCCCTCTAATACTGTGAAAACAGACAGAAAGACAATGCGGGGAGTTATTCACTTCTCTCTAACTGGCTGATGGACAGATTGCAGGCTGTCTTAGAAATATTTTGGTACTATAATCAGCTCAGAAAACAGTGGCACTGATTCATTAGCTGAAGATTAGAACAGAACAAAGCAGTTGACTTGGAAATGTTATTTACTAAAACTCATCTGCGCTAATAACCTCATGTGACTAATCCAGATGGTAATACAAGGATTTAGAGAAATATACTGAATATTTCACATCATCCACAGAGGATGGGAGCTCTGATGTGTGTGTGTGTGTGTGTGAGAGAGAGAGAGTCAGAGTGCATTGTATGTGTTACAACAGCTATGACCCGGATCACACTGCATCCACTGGCACGCTTTAGAAGCAAAACCAGAAAACACCACCCAGGGATGTTAACACACACTTTCACACACACAGGCCAGCTGTCAGCTAGTATTAGCTCATGACTGTCTGAAATATAATACAGTTCGCAAAAAAAGAAAAACAAACCTTGCACGTTTCTATTTCACACACACTTTCCCTCCCTCTTTCACACGCTTCCTCTCTCCCTCCAAAACACACACATATGCTCTCTCTCTCAATATCTTTCATACACATGCACCGTCTATCACAACATACACACCCTCTGTTCCTCTCTCTCTCTCACACACACACACACACACACACACACAGACATACCGTCACACATCCACTCGGTGAGAAAATTAATTTGTCAGATCGTGATTTTCAGTTGTTCCTCCAAAGCTTTTGCTCAGAGCTCTCTGATACGGCCCACAGCCCTGCAGGACATTTCTGTCTGCCGTCCAGATCTGTAGCCTGCAGACTCACTGCAGGTCATTTGTGTAACGGACTCTATTGATCTTGAAAACTATCGCCTCTCTGTGAGCTGTTGTAAGAGCTGCTCAGAGGTCAGAACGGTACAGATTGAAGATTAATGCATGTGTGCGAGAAAAGCAAACTGTCGGATACAAAAAAAGACATGTAATATTCACACCAAGAGATCAGTGAGAGAATGTGAAAAAACATTATAGCAATCTATGCCTTTTGTTGAATACAAGACCCAACTTTGCAGAATATAATGGCTGGCCATAAAATTTCTGCTTTAAAATGGTCAATGGATATGGACATGACTGTGATTATGGCTGGACAAAGTGTAACCATTTACTAAAGCAATTTGAATGACTGAATTTAAAGCTTATGTGATTGAATTAGTGCACTGACCGTACGCCGAGTCCACCGCAGGGTTCTGCTTGCGAGTCGTGGCCAAGACATCTACAGAAAGAATTAGATGAAGAAAATCTACAGTCAGGCTAATGAACTTCATTACTCGGCAGAAGAATGCTTTATTGTGTTTTTACTATAAATAAATCAGATTATTTATTGAACAGTGTTGTCTTCTGGTAACATATTGGATCTGTACTGATGCATAAAAGCAATAAGCTATTTCAGGCCATGCATTAAAGCAATCTTACTATGGCTAAGCAGATTTATATCATAATCATAATGATCACTTTAATTTCTTCCCTTTTGCAATTACAGCACAAGAATGCACACAATACATGAATCTATTATATATGGGACTGGCGATGAAAATGAGCAATAGGCTAACTCTGGCACAATGCATCAAACATTAAAATAAATGAAAATAATTAAAATAAAATCAATGAAATCTCACAAAGAAATGTCCACCTTAATGTGAAAAGAGAAAAAATTATTTTATTTTTGCATGTGGATTTTTTTGTGTGCGTGACATTTTCAAAGATTTTTGTAATTTACAAAAAAAAATGATATATATATTATCTATACTGTATAAGATCTGTATAATTTTGAAAGAAGTCCTTTATATTTATATGATCAAAAATATAGTAAAAACAGTAATATTTTAAAACATTATTAGAATTTTAAATAACTTATAATTTGAATATATTTAAAAATGTAATTTATTCCTGTGATGGCAAAGCTAAATTTTCATCAGCCATTACTCCAGTCTTCAGTGTCACATCATCCTTCAAAATCATTCTAATATGGGATTCTAATAATACAAGATTCTTTGATGAATAGGAACATCACTTTTGAGACAATTTAATGTATCTTTGCTGAATAAAAGTCTTAATTTATTTTGAACCGTAGAGTACATTATATTATAATTAATTAAAATCAGCATCAATTGAATAACACTATGATTTAGCATTTACATTATATGTCAATTTGGGAAGAGGTGCTTAATTGTCATTAAAAAAATGCCACAATGCACAAATCTTGGAAAAATGTGATTTCTTTTTGTCTCTTTTCTTGTTGGAGAGAAACACGACCCATGCATGTTCCTGACATGTTCCATGAGATTCCCTCAGAAAGGTTCTAGAGTTCTGGAGTTGTAGTAGGGAGTTATGATCTCTGGGAGCAAGTCAGCTCGGACTGTCTGGAACTCACCATGACAGCTGTCTGGGTACTGAGGATATCCACTCTCTACATACTGCTCAAATCCAGACCTGTGACAGAGACCGAGAGAAGGAGAGCGTGAGCAGCAGAAGGAGTGAGAAAGAGGACAAGAGAGTGACAATCATTCTTTTGTGAGCCTCTCCCTGAATGATCCCTCTAATTAGTTGTGCTGTCAGCAGTCTGTTGTTGCTCTCCAAGCAACTGTAAAGGGAAATAACATGTTACAATTTGATTGAGGCTCGAATGTCTGATATACAAGGACACTTCCTATATACTATGACTGACAGCCGTGATTTAGCAGCCATAAGATGAGAAACAAATGCAAATGTATAGGTACAGAATTTATACATACGCAAGAATTCAAAATTAAGTAGGTGCCAAATGAAAGTAAATTTGGCAATTTTATAGGAACTGCAACATATTGAAACTATGCGACTACTTGTAACAACTTTTTTTCCCCCTCAGTGGAAGATTTATCATGATTAGTTGTTTATCTACCTTTTTTCCCCCCCACAGTCTATCTACATATTTTTAACCCACCAAAACTGCATTTGGTGATTCATATGAAGAACAATCCTTGCATTAAGCCATAAAAATGAAAAAAAAAATAATTGACTATGTGTCTATGTTTTTGTGACAGACGCATTTTCATGGAGAGATGGAGACTGACTCATCTCGTACATGATGCTGTGTGTCACAATGACGTGGGCTGTTTTCCACAAATATGTACTGAAAAATATTACAATAAATAAATATAATAAATATATATTGTAATAAAAAATGAAGCTTCAATGCTGCTAAAAATATGGATATACATAATCTAAAAAATATGAATACAGAAATTTTGGGGCTTGATATTTTCATGATGCTTTTAAATAAATAAATAAATATGATTTAAAATATGTTTTAAAATAAAAGTTATGTATTATGTTATTATATTCATTCTACTTAATTCAATGTCTTTTTAGAATTTATATAACTTTATAATTTATTCATATAACATATAATTAATTGTGACATTTACTAGCAATTCCTGAATGGAAATTGTTTCCACACTTCTTCTTTTTTTCTCAGTGGGAATTTGGCAGAAAAATTCAGAAGAAAAAAATGCTTTCAGCCAATATATAATGCAAAAAAAATAAACATAAAATAATAATAAAAACATACATTTGAATGACGGTGGGTGGGTGTTTGAGTACGTAAAAAAAAAAAAAAAAAAAAAAAATATATAAATATATTTTTCATTATTTATTAAATATATTAAAGAAAAATATACAAGATGTTCCACATGATGTCATTTCATATATCATTTAAAATCATCATGCAAATATCAAGCACCAAATGTTAAACACGGAATAAATTTAACATGCACATACGTAATTAATGCGTTAACGTCAAATTAGTGGAAAAAGCTAAGGGGAGTTTTATTCATTCAAGTGCAAGTGTCAATAAATAGAAGCACCTTCAGTTTTCAATGTCTTTCAGATGTAAGAACCTTTGTGTGAAGGAAATTAGTGTTTAGGCAAAACAGCACATTAAGTACAAATTTAAGAGAATATGTTTACTGAGAGGGACGTTGCTGACTCATCCAGCCTCACAGCGCAACCACAGCGACACGTTGCTCTGAGTGACTGCAATGTTCGTCTGCTCCTGGCATCACAGAAGCGAGCGTGTCATTGCCGAGCACCTGAGTGACATCTCGCTCACAGACGCATAACGCGTTCTGTCGGCTTTTGCTTCCTCTCTGTGTTACCATGGAGACCTGATTAGATCAGAGGGCTGTGGTCTAATGGAGCACGCAATTCTGTACCCGAGTCCAAAATCAGGATTCACACAAATCACTACATGTCACTTTTGTCCAAAAACACTTTGCGTGTAACATTTCAGTGCAAAAACGTGCCTCTTATCCATTACACACATTGCAATTCAGTTCAGGTGCTAAATGCGCTGATATAATTATTAGTGCATAATTATTGTCATTAATTTCAAGGCAAAGGCACCTTCTTTTTATGTAAATTCGTTCAACAATAAATTGCACCTTATTCACAAAAAGGGCTATTTTCCTGGTGCTGTTCATTTGGCGAACCTTGATGAGCCCAAGGCAGTTTTACACAGCAAAAAATTATTTTATGAAGTAGTGTAAAAAAAAAGACTATTGGAGTATGTTTTAAAAGAAAATACTATTTTAGTCATTCTACTTCAATGTGTCACTTGCTGTTTCTTTGTACTTAATTGTGACATTTACTAGCAATTTATGAATGCAAATCATTTCTTCACCTTTGTTTATTTATTTAAATATATATATATATATATACACATTTATTTATTAGTTTGCTTGTTTTCAGTGGGGGTCTGCAAAAAAATTTAGAAGAAAAAGTTGCTTTTGGCCAATAATGCAGTGTAATGCAATACAATGCAATGCAAAAAAAAAAAAAAGAAGATATATAACAATAATATAATAATAATACATTTGAATGATTCATAATTATTTAAATTTTTATTTGAATTTTTTTTTTTTTTTTACATTTTAATTGTTAGATTAATATTTTCTTTTTACCTCAATACTTTAAAATGAATGCCAATGACTACATTTTTAAACAACGTGTCTTCACAATTTAAATACACGTATAAACGAGTCAAACATTTGACCACTGCATTTAATCATCACATTTGGAAGTCCTTAGCATCAAAAAATTCAACAAACATGCAAATGCAAGTAATTCACTCTTAAATATTTATTCTGACTTGATTTGATTAGTTTTTTATTTGATCTGAGTGGAATTAATATTTTTGTGGAGAACAACATAGAATAATGCCTACAAAAAAGATGCAAAAGAAAAAGCTTGCGTACAAACATAACTTATCATCTAACGCTGGCACCCCATTTCAGCGCTGTCGAGTCACCTGCCGTTCTCCTGCATCACCCTGCCCTGCATATTCAATCTATCTGAGAACCAGCCCTCTCTACCTGACATGATTTAAAGCCCTTATTTCCATTAACCTGAGAGGGGAGAGAGTGACAGAACGAGAGGGAAAGAGAGAGAGAACAGGATGACTTCATCTCATATTGAAGGATAAATGGAAGGACAAGATAAAAAAAATCTCCTGCATAAAGTGGTAAATTGGGATCTTGCAGGTGCATAATATCAGAGCATCAATACGCCTCTGAGATGCATGCTTTTCATTATACCTGAATTGGCCAACATACACACACACACACACACACACACACACACACACACACACACTCTCTCTCTCTCTCTCTCTCTCTCTCTCTCATCATACGGAGACTAAATTGCCCCTGGGAGAGAGCGAATAGGGAAAAGGAGAACACAAAGAGAAAATATCCCACAAGATAATAAAGTCATATTTTTCTTCATATTCTCCTATCCGCAGTACGCTGCAAAAATCAAGCCACAGAGCTGTTCTAAAAATGAGAAAGTCAAAGTATTACCATCGTACATCTATTGCCCTCTTTTCTTACATTTCACCCTCTCAGTCTTGCAGAATTTCATTAGACGCTGATTAGCATTTAAACACACAGTGCTCTGGAACTAAAGTTTCTCTTGTCTTATTTCTTGTTCTCATGTCGCCAGACTTAAAGTCAGCATAAAGTTTCTTGTGGTGTATTCAGGCCAAAAGCCTATCAAAAGGGGCCAAGTGACCAATCACAGTTTGTTTAATGTGACAACCAATTAGTCTGGACAATGATTTCAACCCAATATTGCATTTTTATGTGTGCAATAAGCATCCTGGTCTGATTGACACAAGTGATCTTTAATGGACTTTAATCAGAACAGGTCAAGTTATAATCAATGTAGCTAAATGTTCCCTCACTACCAAACAAACAGTACAATTAGCCCTAACAATTAAACCGTGATGAACAGCAGCCTATTTACACTACTGTTCAAAGTTGTTTGTAATTGATTTACTTTTTTAAATAACTGTTTTCTATTTTAACATATTTTGAAAATGTGATTGATTCATGTGATGCAAAGGTGAATTTTCTGCAGCCATTATTTGACTCTTCAGTGTCATTTGAAGAGGAATCATTATAATATGCTGATTTGGTGCTCAAGAAACATTTTACATGTTGAAAATGGTTATGTTTGTAGAAACATTGATACTATATGGTATTTTTTTTAGTTCAAAGGAAAATAACTTACTTGAAATAGAAATCTTCTGTAGCATTATTAATATTTTTACTGTCACTTTTACTGTCACAATTTAATGCATGCTTGCTGAATAAAAGCATTAAATAAATGCACTGACAAACTAACTTTTGAATAAAAGTGTATTTCATTTGTTTACTGTATAATTCAAATCTGCTATGTATCTTTATGTTGTATTTTTAAGGTATTATTGACAAACTTTAAAACACTCTGTCATTCTATCTATATCAGTTTTACATTTTCAGTGCTGTTGCATCTGGTTTCTATATGACAGAAACCAAAATTCTAGATTTTAGCCAAGATTCTAAAGCTCTTTATAATTTTAATGTGCTGTATGATTACAGAAGACTTTATGGCATCTGACAGCACAAGATGTATGATTCTGACATAAGTTTGGCTATGGAAGCATATAATTGAATGCTGAAGTAAACCAAAGCTCTTCTGGGACATTGATAAGTACTCTCCACAAGTTCCGTCCATTTTGTTGGCAGCGGTCTGGAAATCTGCTGTGTACATAATCATTTTCATGAGTTCAAGATGAAATGATTCCCCATCTCTGTTTATAGAGATCAATACTCACATTAGGACACATTAAGAGTCAATAATTGAGTTTATGGCCACAAAATATCATTAAAGACCGTGACCAGGTTACAGAGAAAGTGTATAAAAACCATCATTAAATTAAATGCATTCAGCGAAATAAAATAACTTAATTCCTACATCTGTCGCAGGATTTGTTTGGTGTGTAGACAAACACACAGATCAGCAATAGCATGCTAAGAATACGATACTGATCTCCCAGTAACATTTCCACTTTGAGTACAAGGGGTTTAGGGTTTTAGCTTTTTTTAATAAACCAAAATTGCAGCTGTACGTCAGTGGATGCGTATCACGAGCGGGAAAACATCAGAGCGTGCTGGGGAGAATATTGCCGCTGTTGCTTTCCACAACTGATGACAACCGCAGCGACCACTCAGCAAAACATTAATAATAACAAATTCAAACTCTGGATCTGCACTTATTATAACTCACACAAGTGAAATGCACTTCTGCTTGACAATTGCAGAGGCAGTACTAGATACATCCCTGGCACAAGCTGATATTGTGGAAAATGGTGGGGATGTAGGTTTGCTCTTTCAGCCAGAGATCTATGCAACTGCAAAGATATTTAAATGAGTATTTCTATAACTCAAATGGTAGAGCATGGCACTAACAAAGTTAGTTTGATTCAGCTAAAAAATTATACCTCGAATTCAGTGCAAGTCACTTTTGATAAAACATCTACCTAATGCATGAAAAATTTAAAATGTTAACACAGACTGTGGTATATTCATAGAGTCACATGCATTTGTGAGAGCACAGTGGTAAGTTCAAATGCTCATGATATTAAAGAGCAGTCCATTTTCTGTCCAGTTTCCTGTCTATTCTCTACTGTCCTACACTCTTAAAAGTACAATTCTTATCAATAAAACATTAATTGAAAAAATAAAACATCATGAGTTGCATGGGCATGTCAGATTTCTTACACAGCAATGATACCACATTACTTTTACAAATATTTGTAAATGTTAATGTGCCATTATAACCATTATTAAGTCTCATAAACAAGTGTGTTTGTCTCTTACATGAAGTTTATCGGAGATAAATATCCGCACATATATCTGGTCTGAAGCATCTGATTAAATCAACAACAGACCGGGTGAATGCCTGTAACAGTGATGTCATCGCAAACAAAGATAATGCACTTTTTACAAGCATTCACTGTAAATGCTTTTTTAAGATGTATTGTTTTGTTTTTTGTCTTTAATTGGACAGGACACTATAAATAATTGACAGAAGGCAAAGTGGGAGAGAGAGTAGGAAAGAATCGCACAACTGCTATATCTCGAAGCGCTGCCCACAAGGCTATTGACTCCAACTTAAACTACCAATTTACTATAATTTTAACCAGATGGTAAAATTAATTCACTCAAGAAACGTCTCTAAAGTGATGGAGTAACACTACAATAAGGTTCAGTTGGTTAACATCAGTTAAATGCATTAGGTATTATAAACACTTTTACAAACCAGATTAATTACAAACCAAAGATGCATACAAAAAGCAAAATTAAATTACACAAGAAAGAAATAAAATACACCACCATTCAGAACTCAGAGGTCAATTAATCTGTTTTGAAAGAAATTAATACTTCAATTCAGGATGCATTAAATTGATCAAAAGTGACTATAAAGACATGTACAATGTTACAGACTTCTATTTCAAATAAATGCTGTTGATTTGAACTTTTTATTCATCAAAGAATCCTGAAAAAATATATCACTGTTTCCACAAAACTTTTCAGCAACACAACTATGTTCAACATTAATAATCATTAGAAACGTATCTTGAGCACCACATTGGTATGATTTCTGAAGGATCATGTAACACTGAAAACTAGAGTAATGGCTGCTGAAAATTCAGCTTAGCCATAACAGAATAAATTGCATTTTAAAATATATTAAAATAGAAAAGTCATTTTAAATTGTAATAATATTTCAAAAATATTACTTATTACTAATTTTTGATTAAATAAATGCATTCTTTCAAAAAGATAAAAAATTACAACTTTTAGAATGGTAGTGTACACTGACAGATGTTTTTTTTAGTATATGTAGAAACTGAGATAACCCAAATTAATTATTGTTTACTGTTAAGAGTTTGATACCTAATGCAATGTAAACCAATTGAAATTTTATTGTAAAGTATTACCCAGGATGCTATATTAAATTTACTGCAAAAATATTTTGAATATTATCTACAAAGTCATCCTGGTCATTGTATAGACTATCTAGTAAAATTCTGTAACTACACTTGGTTATAAATTTTAAAGACATTTTACAACCATCTGATTTTTACCAGATGTTTTAAGGATGTTTATGGTAACATAAGCTCTAAGAGATCTTTAACAATAAAGTATGCTGTAGAAACACACTGTTGACTGTATAGTAAACTTGTGTGCAGAATTCAGTAGTCGTGTAAGGCTCTTTTATTCTAACGAACCGTAAAAGTGTTTACTGTGGCAGGACTAATAGAAGGGTCGTGTGATGCAGCTTTAACTCACTTGAATCCCGGCGCCACTGTGGCACAGTTCCCCGCACTCAGCCAGATGCAGTAAGGGTCTCGTGAGGACAGACAGCTCCTAAAACACACACACACACACACACACACACAGTTAACTCATACCACATGTGCTGGAAAGGTTGTGTGTGTTTTCCTCGTTTACTGTCTCCATCTTCCCCCTAATTTCCCTTTCCCCCCTCTCTCTCCAAGTGGATGTGACAAGCTGGAAGGGACAGCCAGACACAGTATCTCCATAACAAAGCATTATTGCCTCTCGCTGGTCAGACACTCAGTCAGACTGAGAGCAAAAAAATAAGAGAGAGAGAAAGAGTGTGACTGACTGCTGTATAGTCAGGTGTGTGTGTGTGTTTGTGTGTGTATTTGTGTTGCATGACTGACAGGTGTGTTGTGTTTGCCAGAGGCCAACTGAGATTCAGATACATGGTAGAGCTGGCGAGTTGCTCGGAGAAACAGAGAGAGAGAGATACAGATGGAGAGAGAGACGGTAAGAGAGCGAAAAACAGAAAAGAAAAGACAAAAAAAGCATGTGTGAAGTGACTAGATGCGAGTCAGAGTGAAAGAGAGAGATCACTTCCTTTTTTCTGCTATTTTTTTCCTCCTCACAGGTTGTTAATTTCCCCATGCTATGCCTGTTGGTCGCTATGCTTTAGCACTTTATCTATTGTTAAAGGTTATATACTTAAATACTTTCTCTTATCCCAGTTTAAATGAAAAAAATTTAAGCAAAAATAGAGTTGAGTCACTTTTAGTCTGTCTATTAGGTTTAAAGTCATCTATATGCTAATGACCTACTAAAAATTTACAAAAATATTACTTGAACTATAATTTGGCTATACTATCCACCTTATTTTTAAGTCCAATTTTTAACTGGAATCTGCAAAGCTTTCAATGTCAGCACATGGCAGTTATTTTAGTTTACAGTCTGTTATGCTGTTTGATGTTGTAAACTCCCATTATTCATTGTATTTTAGTAGTAGTTATTTATTTGTATTGCCATGTCAGCATCTAAGGCTATATTCATGGCAAAAACGGAGTTGGAATAATACAAGAGTTACAAACAAAAAATAAATCCAAAATAAACACAAACATACAACAAGGTAAAATTATACAATATTTTTTTAAATAACATATGAAGATAAAAAAAAATCTAAAATCTTTTCAGGTAAAATCTTACTGAAGTCCCTGAGTGAGCGTACTTAAAGTTTTCTATTTGCATTAAAACTGGGACAGTGAGTAAAACTGGAAATGGGAGTCTTGCAGAACATGCATAGAATTGGCTCTTCTTCATCATATTTTAATTTATTAGCTTAATCATTAACACTCTGGTTTGTAGTGCAAACAGTTTTATCGTTGATTGTATTTTGTTATTCTACAAATGGTTTAGTATAGTGGCTAATAAAGAAATATGTACATTCACAAGAATTATCTTACATCCGCATTGAAAAAAAGGTGCAAAATAAACAATTTACCAGATGAACATGTTTAAAATTCAGTCTTTCTCTGACAAAAAAAAAACAAAAAAAACAAAAAAAAATGACTTATGACTCATCCTGCACTGCTCTGATTTTTGTCCAATCAAATGTTCTTTAGAATGAGAATGTCCCACCCCATAAAACCACCTGCAGCCAACTAGCAAGTAGAATTAGTTAGCCAACTACTGGCTTTAAAAAAAATTAACAAACCCTTTGATATTTCCCACACAAACGTCCAGTTTCAACAGGATATACGTAAACATAGGGACTGTGATTTTCTTTCAAAATACATAAACAACTCTAAGTATCATGTTTGTAGCTTGATTTCCTTGAAAAAAGTGAAAATGTGTCACTGTCACATCGTGACCAGCCTTACATGGCAACAGTGACTCAACCATTAGTGTGAGTTTGGGGCGGGGCTATCTGTTTGAACGACCAATAGCAGATAGTTTGGGAAAACCTGTTAAAAAAAACATTATTTTTGCAAATAATGTTTGATGATGCACAGAAATTACACCGTGTTAAACTGAATACAGGATGGCTTAAAAAAAATTGCTTTTTGACCACAACTTCTTTGTTTTTTTAGATAAAAAAAAACCTCTTTGAATTTAAACAAACACAGCTGTTTTTGCATCCAGCACTCAGGGTGCACGAAAACAATTCTGTGAGCGAAAAAACAGAGAGGAAAAAAAAAAAATGAGAGATGTTTTCTCACAAGTCCACAGAGAATCCCGTGTGAGTGTTTCTCCTGAGGCTGAGCAGGCATGAGCTAACAGATTGGTAAAAAGTTAAGACATGGCTGGATCAGATATCAGGATTGTTTTTGGAAAGAAATTGGGACTGAAATTCCCTGATAGGATTTGGAGATCTTTTATAAGGAAACACAGTCTATCAGCATGTTCAAACTACAGCTGTGTGGGGAAAAAAAGGATTTGTTTGCTGTGTCTTCGCCTGTGACCAATCAGATGGCTCTAATTTGCGTGCGAGTAGTGGAAGCATGTGGTGATGCTGGCTCGAGGACTGCAGCATGTGATGGAGGAAACACGTCTTCATCATTGACGACCCATCTCTATAACTTTGAGGCTACAATCTAAAACCTTTTGCCCTCTAAAATCCATCTGTGTTTAAATTTGAATGCATTTAAGAATGCCTGTCTTTGGAAACACATACCGCTTTCAGCGCACTTATGGAGAACGTTATCCATAATAGATCAAAAGCGAACCAGCACATACGACTTTTTAGAAGATTCTTGCATGACTGACATAAATTTTTCTCTGAGGACTGAGCTGCTGCACTGCATCGTGAATAGAGTTTGTGATGCTGGTTCCATCTTCAATAAATGTTTTAAACTACTCTACGATAGTAACACTTATGAGTTTATGTGATTAAAATAGTAAAAGTTATTTAAAGATGTAGTACAGCATTGTATATGTTAAGTGCTCTCACATGTAATACATATTTAATGGGAATGATTGTGGGTCTGGGTTTTGTGTCACTCACTTTTTGCAGATGCCATAGTCAGAACAGCGACTGAGTGGAACGCGGATCACGCAACTTGAGAACGCCACAAACAGAGCATGATGATCCTTGTCCAACTCCAATCCCAGAATCCTCCGGTCCTCACCACGCACATCACACCTGAGGAGAGAAACGGTGGTTTGTGTTGGTATGCCATTTTTATGCCAGTTATTAAAGAGGGTTTCAAAAGTACCATATATGTACATAAACATTATTACTAATAAAGTTTATGTTTAGAATTGTCTGCAATTCATACTACTTCCATAAGAATGCAATAGGCATATTTTCTGAATGCATGGAATAACTGAATTATCGTGTAAATTTCACAAAATGTGCTGTAACCAACAAAAGTACGGTGCATGGAATACTGTATCCCATAATGCAATGCAAAATGTGACCTTCAATTTGTAGTGTGACACAAAACCGAAAGCAATTTCAGCTATAATTGTAAACTTGTAAGCAACAGGTTATTATAGCTAACTAAAACTAAAACCATAAAAAATAAACATTAAAGGGGTCATATGATGCAATTTAAATTTTTCCTTTCTCTTTGGAGTGTTACAAGCTCTTGGTGCATAAAGAAGATCTGTAAAGTTGCAAAGACTAAAGTCTCAAATCCAAAGAGAAATTCTTTATAAAAGTTAAGAGTCAGCCACGCCTACCTAAAACGGCTCGTTCTAACACGCCCCCCACATACCTACGTCACTATGTGGGAAGATTTGCATAACGCCGCCCAAATGTTCACGCAAAGAAAGAAAGCGTAACTTTTATTCTCGTGAAGGCGCTGTGTGTTTCATTGTGAAAGTGAAACTACTTTGTTTGGTCTTCCAAAAGAGGATGATATGGCTTCATCATGCCTGGAGCTGATCCGTGCTGGTCGCTGAGGAAATACTTCAACTTTGCGCTGTCGATCGCCGGATCGGCTTTCACCGTGGACGAAGCGGAGTCCAGCCCGGGGTCGTCACATGTGGTTGCCGCAGGCATCAAAATATGGTAAGGAACATAACATTTCCGTCACACGCTTGAGGAATTCGGCCAATCACAACGCACTGGATAGCTGGCCACTCAGAGCACACCTCGCTTTTTCAGACCGATGAGCTTTGTAAAAATCAACACGTTTCAGAAAGGCGGGGCATAGAGGAGAAACAATAATGTACAGTATGTGGAAAATAATGTGTTTTTTGAACCTTAAACCACATAAACACATTTCATTACACCAAATACACAAAATAATGTTTTTTTTAGCAGCATCATATGACCCCTTTAACTAAAATTAAAATACAAAAAACTAACTTTTGCCAAGGCAATATTTCACATTTTCATTCTTTGTAACGTAATGTACAAAAATGACTAATAATAAAAATTAATAAAGACTATCTAAACACAAAAAAATAACAAAAATGCTAAAACTTTAAATATGCAGTAGTCATGTCCTCCTGATCACAATATGCATTCATTTTATGGAAAAGAGCAGCTCCGGATTCTTATCTTATTTCATGTTCGAAAGGATATTGAAAGTGGTTTTAAAGGAGGTCGGGGGGGAAACCTTTCTCTCTAATGGAAGGAAAAAGCAATCCCCAATAAAGAAAAAAAAAAGAAAAAGAAAAACCCAATATAGAAAGAAATCCAATATGTGTGGCACACAGATAAGTCACCCCCATCGAGTTGATTGAAGAAGGTCATGCCGTAAAGGTTGACTGTAATTCATCTTCCTCAGTATCTGTAATAATCAAAATCAATCCTTTGCATCATGTAAAGTGTCGTTCCCAAAGGCTAACTTTCACATGAGGTCGGGTTTTCAGGGGAAAAAGTGAGCAATGCTGCATGAAGATGTGGTCACATTTTGTTGTGGAACTTGTGAGTCTCAGCTGGAGTTGAGGCTGGTTGTCAGATACACAAGAGGAACACACACATGGGCGAGATCCCAGGAGTACAATTACAGCTCCACATGTACCACATTTACTGCAGGAGACATTCTCTCTTAATCAAACGCCTCTGTCGACATTGAGTTTGGGGTTATGTGTGTGCATGTTTATATTTGCCTGAGACTTGTCAATGAGTGTGAAGTGCATGAAAAAGAGCTGAAACTGAAGATGTGTTTGTAAAGAACCTTCTAGGTGAAGTTGTGTTTGCTCAGACAAGTGAGATTTTATCCCTTTAAGGCAAGCTAGTCCACCCAGCAGCCATTTTGGTACAGCTCTTATCTACTTGAATAAAAAGATCTGAAACGGTTTTGATAACATATTTCAAATAATCAATAAAATCGGACAACTGCAACAACAATTTTGTGTCTTCAGCTCAATTCACACTAAAAACTCACTAAACTCACACTATTTCTCAGGCTTGTCTGGTTCATGTGTATTCTAGAATAAACTCTATCAAAATGCAGATCAGCACCAGAGCCATAGCCTCATGGGCAGTGCTCTGACATATGGTTTAGCAGTGCCTCGGGAAACTCGAGTTTGATTCCTCGAGATCTTTTCCCAGTCCTGTTCCTCTCTCTCCTCTGCCTTTGTTTTCTGTTTGTCTCTTAGTATCCCATCATACTATCCCACTTTTTCAGCAGCCTTGGTTTTGGAAGTATTTCTCCCATAGGGGTTTAAAAAAGTATATGTTAAAGAGTTATAAGTCATGAACTAAACCAACCAGCTACAATATGAATCACTACATTACAAACTTTAATTTGAAGCAAAAATATTTGATGTTTATTGACGTCATTTGCAGTGCTTTCTCTGCAATGGGTGGGCACTAAATTACTCTGATTTGTTGTGATTGTCTGATTGGTGGCGATTACTTAAAAACTAAGTTAAAGTAATGCAGTTTTATGGCTTCATCAAAACCATATTTCACTGGTTACCAACACTCCAGCTCATTGTAGGTCTGTCTTTAATGGCTGATAAGTTGTCATAAAAAAAATCAATTTCTCTATGGAGATTTTTGCTCCCGGAATTTGACTGTTGCACGCCATTGTAGCCCTTTCCACAGTGAAAACGTACTGGTCCAAAATGCTACATAGCTGCACACTAAACAACAAATTTTTTTTTTTTTTTTTTAGTTTTCAGACAAAATAACATAAATCATGTCGCAACCAAGGAGTGTGTGCATGCAATATAACCCACTTGTTGGGGTTGTAAACATCTATGTCCTCCAAAACCTGCGTGCTGTAGGTGGAGTTTGGGTGCATGCTGGCGAGAATCTTCAGGACTCGTCCGTTTTCTGAACCCAGAAACAGAACCGTGTAGTTCTTATATGGGCCAGCTGCTGTGTCCACAGCTATCTGGGTCAGCTTGAACCTACATCAGGAACATAAGCTAATTAGTCAACAAAACAAATCACAAACATGTCTTTCCATCACAACACTAAATGCTTATTTATTCTCCAGCACTAATAACGGTTGCCTCCTCTCTGGAGAAATAAAGAGTGCTAAAATAATGAGCGGTTGAGTGTACAATTTCTATTGGAGCATGTGTGTGCGTACCTGCTGGTGGTTCGTGTGAAGCAGGGTCGGTTGTTGACAGACGGTATGGCCTCATCCATTAGTGGATAAGACTTAATGAATGTAAGAGTTTCATCAGGGAAATCTGTGGAGGACTTATAACCAGCAGCAGGGCCGTCACCAGCACAGGACCCTGGCCTAGAGAGAGAGAGAGATAGAGATAAAAAAAACTATAGACTACTACCTGCACAGACTTTTCCCATGAAGCCTCATGGAAATGATTTGCAAAAACAGCTCACACGCACACACACACACACACACACACATACACACACAATTAACAAGAACCATTCCAACCATCTGCCACTGTTAAATAAAAGCTGTTTTCGGAGTCCATCGGGCCGAACAGGCTGCTGTCACAGCTCCAGAGAACCGGTCCAGGCATATCACGCAGAGCAAGACGACAAGGAAGTCGATTCTTTGTCACTTGTGTGTATGTGCCATGCTATATTTGATTTGTTTATTATTAATACATGCTTTTGTGTGATGTTTTCATCTTACTCTAGGGATATTGCATTTATTTTTTCAAACAAACACAGCAAAAACAGTAATATTGTGAAATATTATTACAATTTAAAATATCTGTTTTCTATACATTTTAAAAAGTCATTTATTCCTGTGAAGGCAAAGCTGAATTTTCAGCAGCCATTAATTCAGACTTCAGTGTCACATGATCCTTCAGAAATCATTCTAATGTGCTAACTTGGTGCTCAACCATTTCTTTTTGTTATCAATGTTTAAACAGTTGAGTTGCTTAATATTTTTTGTGAAATTGAGGAATGCTACATAATTTCTTTAGATGAATAGAAAGTTCAGAAGAACAGCATTTATTATTATTGAATTTGATGCGTTCTTCCTCATTACTCTATAATTATAATATATATTATAACTACATATTATAATATTTTCTTTCTGTTTACTATTTGAAGGCTACACTCCATTGTTTTAATTTAATTCATATTTATACATTTATAATTATTATAAAAGGATTTACTGATATTAGTATCAAGTGGATTGCTATAACCCTTCATGACTCACCGTGGTTTGGGCACTATTTCATCAGGAACTGGCGTCCAGGCTGACTCGCTGTTTCGCTGCTCCTTAAACTTCCCATTAAACACTTTCTCTATGTCATCCATGTAGAATGCACATACAGCAGAACCGGTGATACTGAGGAGATAAAAGCTCCGTTGATAAACTATTATTGGATAAACTATAAACTATAAAATAAACTATTCATAAATAAATCAAATGGATTGGATTCAAATAAATTAAGGCTGTTGTTGAAGTGTTTATGGAAATACAAATCGTATTATGGTGAGACTCTGTACCTGTTGGCTTGAGTGGTAAAGACGCCTAAAACCGCAGGCCTGTGGTTGATCTGCATGACATTGGTTAATGACTGAAGAACGTCAAAGTAGAAAAATGAATCACCCGGAACCGAACAGTTTAACCGGGCTTTCAGGAAAGACGTCCAGTAGCGCTCTAGAACCCTTGGAGAGCCACCGTTATCATTCTTACACACGCGAGCGACCCGAGAGAACACCACCTGGTGTAAGTAAATGAGACATAAAAAAGTAAGGAAGTGAGAGAAATTTTTCAGACCTACATTGGCAAATAGTTTGTTCTTGTTGGCTTTACCTGAAAATGAAAAAAAAGAGTCAGACTTTATTTTAAGGTTCAATTCTCACTATTAATGAACAAACTATAACTTTTGCCTTAATAAACTACTAATTTGCTACTTATTAATAGTTAGTAAGGTAGTTGTTAAGTTTGGGTATTGGGTAGGATTAGGGATGTATAAAATGGTCTTGCAGAATATGTGCTTTATAAGCAGTAATAAACAGCCAATTTGTTAATAATAGGCATGCTAATAAGCAAATAGTTAATAGAGAATTGGTCTCTATACTGGATAAAATGTTACCAAAAAAAATAAACAAATAAAAAATAAACTTAATGACTACTCTGAAAACAAATCTTAATAGTTGATGCAAATTTTCTTTAAGTAAACGTATCTTCTTATTTTTCTTGGAAAACAAGGAAAAAGGAAAACTAGGAAAAAGTGTTTTTGCAGTATATTGAAGAAATGAACTGAAGTGTCTGACCTTGCCAAGGGTGGTGTACTCTACTGCAATCTCGCTGAGAAAGAAGTAGATGTAGTTCCCGTACTCAATGGCATGAAGAAAATGAGGCTCTAAATAAATAAAGACATGATTAAAAACATAAAAATACTGAAATTATACAGAAAATAAATGTAGGTATCTGAATAACAAGGCGACGCACCTCGTAGCCATTTTGAGTCGTATTTTACAGTACGCAGGACAGGACTGCTTTCTCCTAAACTTCGGTAAATCACTGCATCACTTGCTAGAAAATCTGTCATTGTGGCTGAATAAAAGTCACCGCCTGGGAAGTGAGGTGAGAAATAAGTATTGATAAATCAAAACAACACGAACCCCACACAGCAGAGCTAAGCTCAGTTCAGTTTGTATATGGTACAAAGAGGAAAAAGAGAGAGAGACGAGTCTCATCTCCCGCATGTCCCTTTTGAATCTCTGTGCTTCTGTGATCACTGCTGTCTCACTGCGACTTCCTGCGCTTTGTAAAATGTCAGTGGAACACTAGTGAGATTATAAGAGATTTCGTGTCTTCCTCCCCAGACGGCTGGTGCTCTGCCAACTCACCGGCAAACAGGCCAACGTTGGACTGGCGGGATTCGAAAGGGCAACGGGCTTGACCGACCACCTCCTCTCCATCCTGTTCCAGAGAAGACATCTGACCAGATAGAGGAAAAAAAGAACCCTTACACACCCTGAGCCAACTAAAGAACCCTAGAAATACAACACGAAGACATATTGAAAAATGTCTAATCAATTCCTTGTTGATTTGGACCCCACTGACATTCATTGTTTGGGTAAAAAGATGTGAGGGTGAGTAAATGACAGAACATTCATTTTTTGGATGAATTGTCACTTTAATATTCTCAATTCCGATTCAGAATCTATTGAGAAAGAATTGTGATGCACTGGTGAATTGTTTACAACTACAGTGAAAAATATTTGTTTGTAAAACAATTTTCATTTAGAAATTGCTGGTAAATTTCACAAATAATTATTAGTATGTTTCTTGTAAAACATACCTTTCTTTACAGTGCCATTATACTGTAAATACCACTAAGGGCATGTTTTAAATACTTGTTGGTGGTTTTTGCATAGACTTTTGGCAGCTTGAAATCCAGTGTTGTATAAATGTTTGTGGACCGGTGGGTGGTGTGTGTTCCATGGTTGTTGTTTTTTTGTTCCTCTTTGGGAGTTGTAGGTGTGAACAGTGTGCTAGTTTCTCTTGTTAGTCAGAGGCAGAGCAGAAGCTCCCGACCTGTGGTGTTCACATAAAAAAAAAAAACGGCGTGCTAACTGCCTGTGTTGGGTGACACACACACATATGTGTACAAATCCACACAGATATTCACCCTGCAGGGCTAGAGACGTCCTCACAAAGATGGCTGGATTATACACACGCACAAACACATTTAGCAGTGTGGCTGAGAGGGTCCTATGGGCATTCTGGTATTCAGGGTCACATTGTGTGTCATCCCTACCGGATTAACACCTACTGAACCAGCTGAAGCTCACCAGCCCTTACACTGCCCTGTAACTCACAGGGATAGAGAAGAACAGAGGGGAATTAAAGCAGGAACAGCACTGGATTGGTTCTATGTCAAAGACTGACCATCTATACACCTCTATCGAGGAAAGTGTGCCTGTTTGTTTGTTTGTTTGTGTTATGTGTCCGTTTATCACTTTAAAAGAAATATGAATAACCTAAATCCTACTCAAACAGGAGAGTCTGGCAAAACACAGCAAAAACTATGCTAGGAATGCACCAATATAAAAATTCTGACAGATAGTGATAAGCTTATAGTTAAAATTATACACTATTCAGTGTAAATAAATTAAAAGTAAAACACTAAAAACTAGAAATGTACCATCATTTTATTTGTTACTAGTGAATTTAGCCATCACAACATAACATACAGTATGAAACATATGTATTATATTTAGTAATAATAATAATAATAATAATTTGTGTTTTTCAATGATAAACAAGCAATAGATGTCTGAAAGGTTATCTAAACATAAAAATATGGGAAATAAGCATATACAAAAAAAATGAAAAAATAAAATATAAGATACCGATAAATAGAACAAAAAACAAATATATCATGCCTCTCCAAAGAAAACGTACATTACGGATGCTTTTGGTGCAAGAATCCCTGAATAACATAAACAGACACCGGGAAATAAGCATGTACAAATACTCAATATCGGCCAAATACCAATAAATTACAACCGATATGACACAGATATATTGTGTCTCTCTAAAGAAAAAGTATTAATTGACTAAAGAATTCTTGACTAACATAAACAAACATTAGGAAATAAGCATGTACAAATATAATATTGACCGATACCGATAAATTCTAAAATATCTCTAATATCTCAGCTGACAACCGATATGGTGCCAATATATTGTTCCTCTCAAAAGAAAATATACATTATGGATACTTTTGTGGCAAGAATTCTTGACTACCATAAATAGACACTGGGGAAAACACGATATAAGAGTCTAAAATGGCAAATGTAACTTTTCCAAGTCTCAAACCTACAATCTCTCCTCAACCTCTCCTTGCACAGTTTTCCAGAAAGTTCTCCACAGTTAATGTGTAACCTCTCAAGCTGTGAGTTGAAAGTGAAGGAATGCGTGAGGAGACGAGGCAGAGGAACTGAGCGACATGATTTGCACGACATGGCATATCGTCCTTCTCCGGGGCTCTAACAAACCGGCCTTCTCCTCGGAGAGATGCAGAAAAACGAGACGGTGAACACAGGAAATGGAGACAGAGAGAGAGAGAAGAGGAGAGGAGGAAAGAGAGGGATATGGAGGGAAGATGCCTTCAGGGTAAGGTGCATAAATCAGGATCTCCAAAGAGCCTCAAATGGAAAAGTTGAGAGCAGAGCCTCATCCGAGAGTTCAGCTGACTCCCTGCTGGCCTCCTCCGGAGTTTAGTCAGATTTACATGCTCTCTGGCAAACAAAGACATGGGCACGCACACACACACACACACACACACACCGCATGTAGACTGTCAGTTTTGATTCTGCAAAGGGAAGCTTTAGAAATCTGTGCATCTGTAGGAGGTATTGACTGTGTAAGTGCGTGTGTAAGCGTGTGATAGAAATAGACTCGTCATACCTTGTAGTTGCGACATGTGGGGTTGAACGCATTGGTTCCACACGCAAAGAGAGTTTCATCGTTATGTGGCACCAGCACTTTGATGTAGTTGTAACACTCATCCTGTGAAAGACAAGACACTGGCTTTTACTAACACACACATATATATATATATATATAACTCCTGAATGACACACACACACACACCGACTCATCTTGAAGCTTACAGCGAGCATCATTACTGACTCTCTTTTTCCTTCACTTCCACACACACAAATTACCATAATCCCTATGCTGAGCTCCAGGATCTGACTCGCTCCCTGCAACTCAGTCTTCAACCAAAAATGATATTTTAAAGACTGTGTGTGTTCACAAATCTACATGTATACGAAGCCACCTGTGGAGAATCACCAGACCGTTTACTGACCATCTGATGCATACTGACCACAACACAGAAAAGTGACTTCTTGATCTGGCAAGCTCTAACCTGATTGGCTGCCTTGACCCAACTTTTAGGAATAAGGACACTGTTTTTTCTGACTGATAATTATTTTCATGTTAAGGTCAATAATTGATAGATGGTCCATATTATATTTATTTTTTTAATCAGTCCGTATATTTGGATATTTTCATAGTTATGTATGTGAAATAACCTTCTTCACAAAATCTATAATATTTGTGAACATTTCTTCAATGTTTACTGCAAAGCTGTTCATACAGACTGATGTGCCAATATTTAGAACACCAGTCTATTACTGTATAATTTATTTCACATAAATCTGCCTCTAATCGGCACAAAACTGCAGAATGTGGCTGGTCACATTATATGTCAGTCATGTGGTCTCTTTCTGTCTATGTTGGCCGTTCTTTCCCAGAATAAGCTGCAGACCAGACCTGCCATTTAGATGAAGGTCTGGCTATGCGAGACTAATAAGCACTAAATGCAACAGTTGCTGACTTCTATCAACACAATTACAGGGAGAAAGTGAAATAAAAGGGCTGTGTACTCACGCTGTTTTTCCCCCTGACTGTGCATTTCTCCACATCCTTTGTCTTCCATGTCAGTTTCTGCCACACAAACAAACACACAATCATGGGCTCATCGCTATTCACAACAGCTGTAAAGGGAAAATCTAATTTACTTCAATAAACATCACACATAATAAACATAAAAAGGAGGAAAGAGAGTTAGACAAGGAGGACTGAGCATTAAGAAGGAAGAGAGACGTCCCTGAGGTTGTTAACAAGCTGTGTTCATGAGTGTGTGTGTGTGTGTGTCTGTCTGGGTGCTTGCTGGTGTCATTAGGTCAGGATGTATTGCAGAGATTTACTGGACAGCCCCATGTCAGCCCACCCAAAAGGAACAGCAGGCAATCAACACCCACACACACATACCATGACAAGATAAAAACAACACTCTCACTAACTCAACTATTTTCTGCAGTGACATCTTACTCTCAACAGTTAAGATATTAATGTCAGAGAGACCCAAAAGACGAAAAGCAGAAAAACTGTGTGATCTCTCCATAAGCAGACTACTTCATCAACACTATTACATTTGAAAGGACTGCTGTCATTAACAACAGCATAAAATGGAAACAGGATTTCATTTGCTATTTAAAACAAATAAGCGAACACTTCAACAACCCAAGTTAACAGCAAAAACTGGTCTCTTAGGAGGGAAAAACAAGAAACTATATTGAACAAGGTACAAAAAATTATTAATAAAATACCTGAAAATGTATACCTTCAATTAAAGTACTTTTTCTTCTATTTTTCAGCAAAGGGTAAATAAAAGCAGAAGCTTAACCTTTTGAAAATGTTGATGCTGAAACCTCAGTAGGTCAAGCTAAATTGTACATGAGTTGTTTTATTTTCCATTCATTTTATATGAAGCCTGTAATTCACTCATGCACATTTAGTAAATGGGACATTTTGGGACAGTAAAAAAAAAAATTATATATATATATATATATATATATATATATATATATATATATATATATATATATTATATATGCTGTATGCAAGTATAGCCGAAATCACAGCACAGCTATTGTCTTTATCTTATGTGTAGCCTATTTGATTTTATCAGACAACGGCTCAATTATAAATCATGATTTTTGTGCAGATTAACATCTTGAAAGGGAGAGTTGGTTATGTAGTCTTAATGGGTCGCATTTCAGTCACTATTTCATATTAATTCGGTTGTCTGACAACAGAAACAGTAAAATATATAAATGAAAACCGTTTTATTGAGAATTTAGCTGCATCAAAATACAGTATGTGGGCACAGAGAGGCAAACAATTGTAATAATAAATAATAAATGTACATTTTGCATGCGAGTGAGCTCAGTGAGCTGCCCTGTCCTGCAAAAATGAAAACAGGTTTGTCTAAGTAAATTGCTCAGTGCAAATAAAGAGAAGTAATGGGGACCTGGTATTAGACTAATATGTCTAATAGACATGGACAAGTTCTTTGAAAAACATCCATGACCTTTTGTGTAGTCTTCATGCTCTATGTTAACTATGGTTTCACTAATAATAAACATTTATTGCATAAAGCATCCATATTTGCTCATGCCCATGTTGATTAGAGTATTAAAAACTATTAATTCAAGTCTATGTATTAATTTAAGGTACATTTAGAACAGATAAAAATGTGCAATTAAGTTGTGATTAATCGAGTTAACTCAAGACAATCATGCGATTAATCGCGATTAAATATGTTAATCGACTGACAGCCCTAATATTTATATATATTAGGGCTGGGCAAGTTAATGCGTTATTATCACGTTAATGCATTAATTGATTAATGCCAACAATTATTTTATCGCGCATTAATGCAGTTTTTTTATTATTATGAAAGTCCGTTGCTCACTGGCTCTGAACACACATACAGACAAACCATGGGTCATAGGAGGGGTGGGATGTTGATCAGTACTGGCTTGGGATGGGCATCATCACGTGTCTCAAACCAAGGAGAGCATTTGGGGTGGACCTAAGACTGCAGCAGCGCTCACATGAAGCGCTCACGACTTCATAAGTGGGAAATAGTGCTCTGGCCCAGCTCTTCCAACCGAGCCAGGGCCGGCTAAACGAACCGCGCCCGAGCGCGGCACGGAGCGATCACACTAGTCAAACGAACCGGGCTTTGGGGGTCAATCACTCGCGCTCAAAATGCCTAGTGCGTGTACACACTTATTCTTCCGCATCCCGCACACACGAGTCTCTACCCGCCCGCACTCGCCCATCAAGTGTTGTCCCGCGCTGCACTCTGCTGCGTTGGGTCCCACTATAGTGCTGGTCTCTAAGGTGCCCGTTATAATATTATGATCGAGGCTCTGGACTCCGAGCATAACTTGTTTTTCTATTACAAACTATAACATATTTTCTATAAAAACGTTAATGCCCTGGCAGTGGAAAATAGCTTTGGTTTTATATTTAATTTGATTACATTCATGTTATAAGTTGAGATTTACAATAAATATTTTAACTGCTACTATGTAAAAGGAATACTGCTGTAAAAAAACACCTTATTTGTTTAAAGTGTTTGCAAACCAAATGTTATTGCACTTTTGTTCATATAGCAGTACTTTTAAATACTAATAGTAAATAATATGCAGAAAATGTATTATATTTGTTTAAATTGCCAATAGCCTACAGCCATATGCTACACATTTAAGCACTGTTTTTTTGTGAAATAATTCAGTCCACTCATAATTCATGCTTGTGAAGAGGCTTTTCAATAAATGAAACTCAAATGCAATGAGCTTAGCTAATCACAATCAGTCATTAACCTATAGAAACCTTACAGAATGTACAGTAAATAAAAAGCCTATTTAATTCCAAGTGTCACACAGAGTGGGAAATGGTTCTGTAAAACTAAATTACGTCTGTTTTTTGTGTTAAAGACCTTGACTAACATTTCAAGTGGACCTCAGGGAAAAATAGACAGTGCTATAAAAGTGTAGAATATTCGTCCTTTAAAGCCACCATAAAGAAAATTGCTCATTTGAAAAATGGGATTTCTGAATGGTCCTTCCCCAAAGACGAATAAAAGTGAATATTCCGACATCACACACTCACTGCACTGATCTGAGAGAAAGAAAAACATTAGAGATGACTGAAACAGGAAGTTGAGAAAAAGGTGAGCTTACCTGTTGGGGGACGATACGCTCCGCTGAAGCGCTGAGGTTAATGGCAAAAACGTGATCTCTACAGAGACAGAGAGAGAGAGACAGGAATGCCAATATTCTCATCAAGTATTTGAGCAACCAAGATTCTTTTTGCCAGTTCTTTCAATAAATAACAATACAGTGCCAATAACACCTTGAGCTGAAATGAAAGGGGCAGAGGACAGCTACAACGAGTGGTGAGGAGACAGACAGAGAGGAAATAGAAGGGGTGAGAGAGGTGTCAGAGAGCGAGCCAACATCCATCTGTCTCCAATCCAGGCCTGAATGAGACTGATTGACCCAATCACACGACCCTTATCATTAGTGTGTGGGTCTTATCGCTGCGGGTGTCTGGAGAAACAGCACTAGTGTGTACCGATCGGGAGCTCTGGAATTCCCAGTTGATGTTGCATCTTGAATCTTCTGAAATGTGTGTGACTGTAGTGTTGTGTGCAGTGTGAGTGTGTGATTGAACTGACATGACGTACCTCGCAGCAATGTAGACCATGTGGTTAATCCGCAGCATCCTCTGAAAATCCAGCCCCAGTCTGGCGGTGTCGTTATCTGACATGTTCCCCTGGAAACTGGGGTACAGGTAGGTGCCTTCATGACGGGGAGAGAGAAAAGACTGGGTTAAAATCAACTAGAAATGCTTACTGTCTACAGTACTATCTTCGTGTCAGTGATGCACCTGAAGGATTATTCTTATTTTAATAGCAACATTTTTTTCTAATTAACTGTAATTTGTTAACAACAAATTAATGTGTACATCGCATCACATTATCTCTATATTTCTTAGGACTATTCATGAGATTTTAATAATAACATTTTGTCAAGCTGTCAAAACATTAAAGGGGTCATATGATGCGATTTCAATTTTTCCTTTCTCTTTGGAGTGTTACAAGCTCTTGGTGCATAAAGAAGATCTGTAAAGTTGCAAAGACTAAAGTCTCAAATCCAAAGAGATATTCTTTATAAAAGTTAAGAGTCAGCCACGCCTACCTAAAACGGCTCGGTCCAACATGCCCCCACATTGCTACGTCACGATGTGGGAGGATTTGCATAACGCCGCCCAAATGTTCACGCAAAGAAAGAAGGTGTAACTTTTATTCTCGCTGTAGTATTGTTGCTGCTGCCATGTCGTGAAGATGCTGTGCTTCATTGTGAAAGCTAAACTACATTGTTTGGCCTTCCAAAAGAGGACGATATCCACTTCGTCATGCCTGGAGCTGATCCGTGCTGGTCGCTGAGGAAATACATCAACTTTGCGCTATGGATCGCCGGATCGGCTTTCACCGTGGACGAAGTGGAGTCCAGCCTGGGGTCGTCACATGTGGTTTCCACAAGCCTGCCGGCCGCTCCTTCGTCGAATCCGCCGCCTCTGCTCACTCTAGCCCTCCGGCCTCCGCTCACGCTAGCCGCCGGCCTCCGCTCACTCAAGGCTGCCGTGTGTGACGCTGTGTTTCGTTGTGAAAGCGAAACTACTTTGTTTGGCCTTCCAAAAGAGGACACGACTAGAAATTGTATTTACAACACTGTTCCAGAACAGTTCAACCCAAATATTCAGATGTGTGCATTACATTTTCCTGGGAGAGTACACTACAATGCCGGCTGTTCTGACTCACAGACTGTAAGTAAGTTTTCATATTTAAAGTAAAAAGACAGTATAAGTCATTATAATCTGTAATTATGTCCCCACTGGATGCAACAAATGCCTAATTTATAATGGGTTTGAATGTTTTTGTCTCGTCGCTCAAGCCGGACATCACAGTATGGTAAGGGTGTAACATTTCCATCACACGCTTGAGGTATTCGGCCAATTCGGCACTGGCATTCGGCATTCGGCATTCGGCACTGGATAGCTGGCCAATCAGAGCACACCTCGCTTTTCAGAACGATGAGCTTTGTAAAAATCGATGCGTTTCAGAAAGGCGGGGCATAGAGGAGAAACAATAATGTACAGTATGTGGAAAATAATGTGTTTTTTGAACCACAAACACATTTCATTACACCAAATACACAAAATAATGTTCTTTTTAGCAACATCATATGACCCCTTTAACATTTTAGCCAATTTTCCACTTATAAATAAATACATATATAAATAAGTATGCTTGAAAATATAAATTTGGCATTTACTAAAAATTAAGACTAAAATGAATAATTAAAAAAATTGTATAGTACGTATTTAAAATTTTATTTTTTACTACAAATAATATCTTATTGGCAAGAAGTTTGTTTTTCATAAACAAGATAAAATAAATTTATGCTAAAACATACATGAAAGAATAACAATTTACTTCAGAAGCATAACAAAAATAAATACATAAATACACTGGCGGCCAAAGGTTTGGAATAAATAAGTTATTTTTATTCTTTTGAAATAAGTCTCTTATGCTTATGCTTGACCAAAAACAGCAAACACAGTAATATTGTACAATATTATTACAATTTAAAATAACTGTTTTCTATTGGAATACATTTTAAAATGTAATGTATTTCTGAAATAGCAAAGTCGATCAGCCATTAAAAATCATTCTGATATAGCAATATGCTAATTTGGTGCTCAAGAAACATTTCTTATTTTTATCAATGTTGATAGTTTTTTTTTTTTTTTGCTGCCAACTATTTTTATGGAAATTGTGATATACAACCGTTCAAAGTAAGTACAATAAAAAAATACAAATAATAAAAAAAATACAATAAAATACTTATATGTATACATATACATTTAAGATATATTTCCTTAAGTCATATCTTATGCAATTATGTCTAATTTAGGCATATTTAAATATTTTTACTGGAACAAAAGACAGAAATATTTAGTGTGGTTTGATCCATTTATTTCCTGTCTCCTGTCTGGGGATCTTGATCAATAATAAAAAATAAATACATAAAAAATATCAGCCCCCACACAAATAAAAAACCGTTTCATGTTTATAATGATTCATATAACAGATCTCATTTTGCTGCAAGCAATGTTGATAAGTGTTTACACTCACAAACATCATCTGCTAATTAATCTCATTTACACTTAAAAAGATTAGTTTCTAGCACAATGTCAAAGATGAGTCACTTTGGCATGCTCTTCTTTGAGAGTCTGAGTGGGTCACACAACATTTTCAGACCCGCAGAGACATCTAACCTGCAGGGACCTTTCATTTGCAGGTCTGCTTGGAAACTGTGCACTGCTCAAAAGTAGCAGCCACATGGTGACAAACATGACCTTGGGGTGAGAAGAAAATCTGGACGTTTTAATGATTCCTGTTACTAGTTATTCAGCGATTATGAAGCTGTGTATTGTTAGAGTTTCTCCTGAGCTTGGCAGACCATAGGTGGCCGCAGCTGGAACCGATGCTCGCTCTGATGTTCAGGAACTACAGTAAACAAACATGCAAGGGTTAAATTGGAGCTGAAACTTCACTCTCTTCTCAAAGACACTGACTGGGTAAACATCATCACCATCATCTGATCTCGGCAGGATCATCACTCAATAAAGATCACCCAGAGGGTCTGCATCTCGACATGGAGCCAGAGCCAATGAACCAGTGATATGAGGAAGAAAATTAAATCCACACAACTCTCACAAGTCTGAAAATCACTGCATGAGAATGAATACTCTAGAATTCTCAGCTTCATTCTTCAAAATAATTCAAGATTATTCTACCAAACCGCAGTTATACATTTTAAAAGACAGGAAATATGTACTTATATTTTGAAACAATAAGCATCATACAACTTGCCATATATGGTTAAAAAAACAGCATCGTACACTAAACGACTGAGGTTCATTCACTATCGAACTTTCAAGTCATGAAACATGACAAATAAAAATAATGTGTTCTAAAATCACTTCAAAATATCAAACGTGTCTGATATATACCTTGCACAATGTGATTTTCTATGAAATCTGTCAATTCCAACTGCCCCAAATCTGCTGGCTGGCAACTAGCATCAACTCCACCAGACTGCAAACTGGGGCAAACATCTGGGCAGTGTAGTGTATTTCAGCATATTTTCTAACAGGTCTAATTCACATTTTCATTCTGTCAAGAGTCAAATAGTGTCTGGATGAAAAAATAACCAACTAAATATATAATTTTTTTCATGACATGGCTAAAAACAAATGTATATAAATGAGTGCTGTCAAACGATTAATCGCATCCAAAATAAAAGTTTTTGTTTACATAATATATGTGTGTGTACTGTGTATATTTATTATGTATATATAAATACACACACATGCATGTATGCATTTCAGACAAATATGTTGTTTATATATTAAATCTATTTATATATAATATAAATTATATGATTATAAATATAGACATATAAATACATGTAAATATTTTCAATATATATACTGTATGTGTGTGTATTTATATATACATAATAAATATACACAGTACACACACATATATTATGTAAACAAAAACTTTTATTTTGGATGCGATTAATCGCGATTCATCGTTTGACAGCACTAATATACATTATTTTTTATTAAGATTTATTTACTTAAATTGTAATATTAAAATGTACATTATTTATACTAATTTGTCCAAATTAATTTAATTAAATACTATGAACTAAAATAATGTAAATTTACGTAAATGTAGGCATCCCAACATCATAAACCAAGTAAAAAAAATTATATATTTGAAACACATTAATTTCATACTAAGTATAGTTCAAATCTATGAACATATTCACTGACATATCGCTCAAGACTTACCGATATAAAAATGATAATTAAACATTATTTGGATTACTACTTGTGCACAATACACATTTCTAAATATTAAGCTTAAAATGTGTTTTAATGCCAATATTGGTGATTTTTTCAGGATTGTATGATCTTTGAATAACATCAGTCTTCAAATTCAAGATATTTAAAGTGAACCTGAAGTATACTTGCAATAGTTCCACTTTAGCATAATCAAATATACTTCAGTATATCTTTTGTTGGACTTCAACATTACTTCCAAAAAATTTAAGTGCATTAAACTCAAAATTAGTTGTTCCAATTTAGCTGAATTTAAGGATACCAGTTTAGTATGCTAAAAGTACAATTGCAAGGTATTTTTATTAAGCAGATTAATATGTAAATGTATTTGTAGTACACTTAGCATGACATTAATGTATTTCAAATACATGTTAGTATATTTCTTTTTCACTAGAGAACATATAGTATGAAAATTAGAAATTGATTTTAAGATTTGCTAAACATTTTATTTAACAGTGTTATTAAATTATTACCGTTTTCTTAATGTAATTTTAAGTGAGCGATGAATAAAGGTACCCTAAATGTAAAAATAGAAGAAATGCGCAGCACAGCTGAATATACAATATCGGCGACAGATAAATATATGTATTTTTTCATATCTCTCATATCGGTCAATAACTGATATGGTACCAATATATTATGCATCTCTACTAATAATAATACTAAGACACCATATTGTGTTAAAGCTTGTTAAGATGCTGCTTCTTTCCGTCTGTAATGTGTGGGCTGCACAAAGACCGCAGGGCTGATGGGACCATCTATGGTGGAAAGAGACAGACTGGTATCAAAATATGCAAATACACCAACTGTATTAACAACTATCTGTTCAGTTCACTTATGTACAATGAAAATCATATTCAACAACTGAATTAGCTCCTGAAAATTAAGATAGTGACAATCACAATCAAATTATACATTAAATGTGTCATGTGTACAGAAGCAAACTGAACAACTAGTTGTTAATTCAGTGATGCCACTTGCTGCCAGCTGCTCTGAGCTGCTGTGTTAGAAAAATCACTGAAATTGAGGTACCTGTCTTGACTCATTTGCATATTTTGATATGGTCTCTGTGCACTGTAGCTCCTCCCACCATCCAGAACAAACCCAAACATTACAGTCCAGGCTGTTTCAAAGCATCATCTTAACAAGCATAAACAAAACACTGCTTGTTACAGTTGGTTCCATGTTGTAGTTGTCACTCCCCTAAAAGTGTTTTGTGAACAACAGGATTTGGCACTCAGAAGAGGAGTGAAAACTGTTATTTAGCTACAGTGTGAACGCGGTCGAGGCCATCTAATGGGTTTAAAGGTTACAATGTATAACAGTTGTAGAACAGAGCAAAGTCTCAGGATGTAAAACCACACATACACATACAGCAAGCACATAAACACACACAGGTGGAAATGGTTGATAAATGGGTCTCATTACTCGTGTGATGTTCTTTTTGGAGAGCTCTATTAGCCCAGCTATCTGTACACCAATGGCTGTGAGGCTCAGTATTTGTTTTTGAGTCCAGCTCTCTCAAATGTGGTCCACTTGTTTTAGCAGAACAAAGGACGCAGCAGAGATCTTGTATCTGCTCATACATGACCCCCCTCGAGCCTCCCGTGTCAATCATGGTACATCCATGCTGAATTCTGTGTTTGAAAGTTAAAATGATAGGAGACGAAAGTGAAAATGGGACCACAAGCTAGATTCCAGCTTAAAGTAGCCACATAGAACTTATAGTTCACCCAAAAATGAAACTTGTCATAATTTACACACTCATGTTGTTCCAAACCTGTATGACTTACCTTCTTCTGTGGAACACAAAAGAAGATATTTTGAAGAATGCTGGTAACCAAATAGCTTCAGTTTCTATTGATTTCCACTGGATGGTTAAAAATATAATGGAAGTCAATGGGAAAAGAAACTATTTGGTTACCAAGATTTCTACAAAACCTTAGAAGAAAAGAAAGTCATACAGGTCTGTCCATCCATCTGTATTAGTCTGTCCATTTATCTATCCATTTTCCATCTATTCATCAATCTATCTTTCTCCCTATCCATCTATCTGTCCATCCATTCATCATCTGTCTATCCATCAATCCATCTTTATCTATTTTCAAAACTTTCAATCAAGATTTTTTTAAGCCATCATTCTTTTGCTTTTCTAGTTAAAATTGGTCCATGAATCAATTCACTTTACAATTAACATTGACTGAACTGTTTGCAACCTCAAATCAATTAAAATTCAGTAACTGAACTATCAATTCACTTCTGAATGGCTCAAATCCCTCCCACTAAACCACACCTCCAACTAATTCAATGTAAAATAACGCTTTTTGGTTTTCCAAAATAATTATGACCAATATAGTGTTGGGCTGTATGGACTGTATAAAAATGAGTTGGCCACAAAATATCAACATAAAACAGTAAACACTTCATTTGCAATTGAGTTAGCCTCTCCACACCCTGCTGTTTGCAACACAGCCAAGACTAAGGAGTTTTTATTTGCCAATTAGTAACAACTTCACAGCAGCCCCCAAATGAAGCTGCTCTCTCAGACCCAGTATGTTTGGAAGCTAGGGAGTAACATAGAGCGGAAAACCGGGATGGGGTAGATTAGGGCTGGGAACGAGAAGGTGGAGGGAGGATGGACTTGGCAGCCATGGCTGCTGATATACGTATTTGGCGTGTGAAATGCTTTACGCCTGCCAAGACCTGATTGCTTGGCAGGCGGTTTACTTTTAAACTCTGGGTACGGTTTAATGCGCCTATTGCAATATATCTTGCAAGATAAAGAATTCATAATTCAAACTGCCATGATTGAATTATGAAGATATGAACACAAAACTGAGGTTTCAACACTCTTTGTATGCCTGAAGTTAAAAAGATATCTGTGAAATAATGTGACTTTTATCCCAGGAACTTGTGGTGTTTCATTGTTTTATACTTACGTTCACTACCGACGGTGCTGATGGGCTCCAGGTCCTGAGGAAAGGGTGTCGCACCATGGCACAGATGTTTTAGGCAGGTGAGGGTAAGCGTGAGGGTCAAGGCCAAGAGGGGCCGCGACCCCAAAATCACCAACCTCATTTCAGCTAGAGCATAGAAGTCAGCCACACAGCATGACCCAGAGCAGACTGATCACCACCTGGAAAGACAAAAAAGAGAGCTATTAAAGAGAGCCATTTTAAAAAATGGTCACTGCAACCTCAGTAAAAAGGATTTTTGTGCTTCCACTTGACTCAACAACTTATATGTGTGACTGAATGATTGTGAAATTCACTGACATGTCATTTCAAATCTGTATGACTGTGGAACACAAATAGAGAAATTTTAAGAAATTGCACTAGCTGCTCTTTTACACCCAATTACAATGATTGGGGGCGAGGCATTTAAGCTTCGGGAAGTATCATAAAATGATCTTTAAAACTTCTGAAGACTTGTAATGCAGTACATGAGTCATATGTACCACTTTTAGGCAGTGGCGGCTCGTCGGGGGAGGCACAGCTTCCCCATCATTTTGAGGTGAAAATGGGAGGAGGACGATTTAATGTTAATAAAATTCACAATTCATTTCAGTTCATGTCTCAAAATGTGTATTTTTTGTTTGTAATTTCACAGTTGTAATACCATAACGTGAACGCGCCACTTTTCTATCGCGAATGTGCCGAATCTGCTGATGTAATTACAACCGCTAGGTGATATAGAAGGGTAGGGAGAGGCCGGGGAAGAGATGAGCTCTCGTGCCTCCGTTGGTAAAAAAAATTAGCCAATCAGCATCAAGTGTTCACTTTCAGCGCTGAGGAGTGTTGAGAAAAGAACCCTGGCAAGGGAGGCTAGCCTCCTTCTGATATCAACCAATCATCATAGATACGTAAATTAAGTGATATTAGTCTGAACGTCTGCCGCTGTGCTGATAATGTACCAAGTACTTATGAGTAGTAGCGATATTGAATATTTGATTGCCAACAGATTTATCAAGCTGTCATTTAAACAGTATATATACAAATTTAAGGAAAACAGCCAAAGCTGGATATAGGCTACAGCAGTTGGCTTAATTAAACTGCGCAACAGCCAGCTCTCTTTTAACACAGACTTTTAAGAAGGGATGGATGTTTGCTTACAGTGATAGGCCAGGTAAGTGAAATTATATTATCTTGCTGTATGTATGTCGTTTTCTTTACGTTTTCTGACTAAAAGCAACCAAAAAGCCATTTTAAAGTGGTTAAGCAAATAATAATAATAATAATAATCGGCAGGGATCCCAGACCAATACAATTAGTGTGCCTCCTCTATTTTAAAACCCATGAGCTGCCACTGCTTTTAGGATAGTGTTATGGTTATTTTGTGCCATTTTTGAAGCTTGAAAGCAATGTGGACTAACTGCATTGGAAAATAGCGAATAGCGCAAGTCAGATGGGTTGTCAACAAAGTGAGTAAATAATCAAAGAATTTTCACTTTTAACTATTCCTTTAATGCAATCTAATATTCAAGCATCCTGCAGTCACACTGATTCAGACAGCGGCAGTGTTGCTTTTATTAACACGCCCAGCATAATAATGGAGAAATGGAGATGGGGAAAGAAAAAAGATGGACTGAGTGAGCGAGAACACAATAGGTTATATTATAAGGGCCCCAGCCTGAGGGACACCTGGCTCATTGACTCAAACTGTACAGTCTTTCACAGGTGACTTAACTCAATTAACCGCAAAGGCTGCTGGGATGCCGTCTCAGTCTGTCAGCTTTTACACGAGGCCAATGGGGATGGATCAAAAACTTATTTTCAGGGCAATGGAAAAAATGAAAGTATCCTGCCAAAGAGTCCTACTGAAAATAGGCTGAATTATTAATGAACGCTTTGAGTGTTTGTATTAGATTCATAATGGACTGAGATACTGATGTTAATGAGTTTGGCATCAGGTTATTCTACATGATACAATGACCAAAAAAAGAATGGACTGTCCTCTAGTACAGTGATTCTCAACTAGTTTTGCTTCAGGATGCAGATTTAACATCAGAAATCAAGTGGTGATGACCCATCAAAAATGTAAACAAAAATGTGCTTAAAAACAAATACTGAAATGTACTATTATAACCACAAACCCCATTTGGTCTAAAATGTGCAAAACTAATAACATGACTGTTTATAAAAAGGAAATTCACAATTTGGATTTCAATTTTTGCACAAAAACACATTTATCTTTGCTAAAACAATATTTACATAGCCTGAGTCATCAGTGTAGAAACACTGCTTTAGTAAACAGATGAGTTTGTGTCTTACAACTGACAATGTGTCCTTTAAATTTTAATGTCCAGCCAAAAACCTTTTGTTTTTGAACTGATATGAAGCCTGATCACAATTAATCACCCCATGTGGCCACTAGGGGTGGAACGGTTCGCAGAAAAAAATCGAACCGTACGGTTCTCCACACACGCGTTAGGACCTTTAGTTCAACTTAAATCTGACAACGCATTTGTAATATGGTTAGCTATAAATAACACGTAAAACAAATAGGGTTCGGCTAATATATGTTTCTGTTGATGGATGCGCATTCTGGCTTCTCAATACATTACAACAACAGCGATGAAAAAAAAAACGTGGACAAACCATTCACTCTTGTTCAGTGCGAATGCTGTATGCTGGAATATGAGCATTTATTCCGTCATCACCCAGTTGCTGATAGTGCGCGCACAGGTGAGACCTGAACAGCAAAACTGTGTTTAAGCAAAACTCGTTTAAGCTTTGCCAGTTTAAATATTTAAGAGCCAGAGGACGCGAGCTTGCGAGCGCAGTGAGAAGATTTGTGTGTGCATTCATCCGAAGCGTGCAAACCCGCACCTCAGAACTACTGTCTCAGAAGTATTGTTTAAATGGACAAATTCACACAAAAATTGTCAAAATGACCATCTTGGTAAGTATCCTATAGCAGACATAACCGGCTGAATGTACTGTATCAGTGCACTAGATCAGTCAATTTTCTTTAAGTGTCAACACTTCCTTAATATTAATCAAACAGCAACAAAGAAATCACTCACTGCTCTTGATTGAATAGCGTTTGTAACTTTAATAAAGATTAATCTTTAATTTATATAGTCAAATATGCAATGCTGTTTTACATTTCATTACTTTATTCAATTTCTGTACTTGAAACTAATGTTAGACCTACCTAAAAAAACCTGAAAATCACTGTTTATTTTATTTGTATCTTTACTCTATTGTATTTATTTGTTCTGTTGCTTGTAGTTAGATAGATTATTCTTATTTTCTTTCTTTTTATTTGACAGTATAGTTTTTGCCTAAACATAGCACATACCGAACCATACTAAAACCGTGACTCTAAAACCGTGATACAAACTGAACCATGAGTAAGTTGAACCGTTCCACCCCTAGTGGCCACACAAGGATACACTGTGTCAGGGCTATATAATGGGACATTATGTCTGATGGATTAGCTATACTTAGAGAACTGAGTACAGGGACAGAGCTGTGCGCTTCTAATGGAGCACATATACACACTTAGGACACTCTTCTAGAACTAATACAGCACAAAATGTGAGACATCATCTTCCCCAGGCTGACGCTGAAAGGATCATGGGGTCGTTTTTATATGGACACAAACAAACAAGGATCATGACAGATAAGCACAAATTATACCATCCGGATGTCTTGTGACTGCAGAACCAAAACCAAAGCCGTGTTGCTTTTCAAGGAATTGACAATGGGGAAGAGATCATGTGAAAATTGATGAATACAGTGCAGAAAACATCTAAGAATAACATTTTCACAAAAAGTTCTGATGAAAAAAAAAAAGAGTGGTGCCATGATGTTACAGGGTTGTGGGTGGTTGCTAACTGTACATCTATTTTTTCCCCCACCTTTTTATTGACCAGCTACTGTAGCCAGTTACAGCCAATGTAAGTTAGAATGCTTTGAAAAGTACTAGCACACCTCTCCCGAACATGATATGAGGTATCATTCATTCCCACAGCACAAATGCTGTGAGACAAATTACACACTAAAGTCCAATACTTAAAGTCTCGATAAAATGGAAGTAATGGCATATCTTTTCTTCCACATTGTGAAGTACATCCAAGTGATTATTATACAAGAAAAAAATGTTGCTAGGACTTGGTACTGTCGAACAGTTGCAGTTGATTGCAAGAAAGGAGTGAAGTTTAGGCAGACAAACTGTTTGGCATAGATCAGAGTGAAATGTATCATTTTGGAAGATCTACTTTTCACATTTTAATATAAAATACAAAGTCATGAAAAAAAGAAACAGATTGAAAATGTGTATGAATAGTTAACGATAAGATCAATAACATGCATTTACAAAATGGATAGATTTTCATTTCATTTCAGAGCAGCTAGGAGGAATGGGCTGTCTGGTCTTATCTGCGCGACGTCGCTGCCGACTTTAAGGTAAAAGTTAAGAACAAATCCAAAAAAGAAGAACTTCAAAGATATTTAAAAACCTCAAAGGAATCAGGTCAAATTAATCCTTAACAAACTCCTGTCCTAATAATTTTCAATATAAAGATGTCCCTTTCGCTCAAGGCGAAGCACTCTTTAGAGACCCAAGAGTTTGAGACCTCAGCGACGTCGCGCAGATAAGACCAGACAGCCCATTCCTCCAAGCTGCTCTCTCTGCTGCCATTAATACATGCTCCAAATGGCATCTCAATCAGCACTCAAGGCTGATGAGAACAGTGATAGGACTGGGAAACCAGTCAACGTGTCCCTCAATTAATTCAATGACCTAAATGGATTTGGACTTAATTACTTCCCCTCAGCTCACTCTCTCTGTCTCTGTAAAGCTCTGCAAATCACAGCCAGCCTAAAACAAATCCAGGTTCCAACAACGCTTTACAAGTCTTGGCACAATGATGCTCAGTTGAGATGCTTTCATCCAAGTTTTAAGGCAGCATAGCATTTATCCTTCACAAAGAAAACAATCACCCCCATTATGTAAAACTGCTATTTGGTTGACCGTATACCAGATGCTAATCAATAACATTGACAAGACATTTATGGTACGCCAATCTGACATTAGCTAAAGAATGAACTTCAACCACAAAGAGCTGTTGATGGGTAGATAATCTTTCAAAGCCCTATTAAATCTCTTTGCAAACATATATAATGTAAA